TATATATATATATTTTATATTTGTATTTGCATTTTGAATGCAATTTGGCAATTAAATACATTAAAATGGGTTTAGTTTTCACGGTTATTAATGTATGCAATTTCAGCAATAAAAATGTTAATTTTTCTAAAAAGAAAACAAATTAGTTGTTTATTTTAAGAGATCCATCTTATTATCTCTTGTATATTTAGTATTGCTCTTTAATAAATAAAAATTACTTCTTATCCGATTAATCGATGGAATAATCTGTAGAATACTCAATTACTAAAATAATCGCTAGCTACAGCCCTAATAGCAGTGCTTCTCAACTTGTTTGGCCATGGGACCCACATTTTCCCATAGTGATCAAGCCATGACCCACTTTATGATATATAATTTGTTGAAAAAAATATCATCCCTTCATGCAAATCCTTCGCAGCTAACACACGAAGTACCAGTTATGTGATTTATTGGTACTTTACTTTTATTTCACATGTTGCATGCTCGTGGTTTCTTTTGCGCTTTAGTGAAATGATATACAGTGTGCACTGCCGCATTTGCACGTGCAATTGAAGAGTGTGCTACAAGCACAGTATAACATCTTGACAGGACAGGATAGTTCATTTTTCTGAGGTGAGAGACTTTTTATTTCATAACAATAACAAGTTACAAAAATAACAATAGAATGAGATTGACATTAAGCCTGACAAGATCTCATCTGACCGCAGATACTGAAAAAAAAGTGTCAACAGCTTTCACGCACATCTTTCAAAATAAGTCTTGCATCAAGAAAAACATTTATAATTATGTTTTTTGTTGTTGATGTAGTTTCTTTGACTGTACACTCCTTGACCCACCAGTTGAGAAACACTGGTGTATAGGATTCTAGCATTCCCGTTGTTGGCTTTGATGCTCTAATGCAGGGCTGTCCAAACTCGGTCCTGGAGGGCCGGTGTCCTGCAGAGTTTAGCTCCAACCCTAATTAAACACACCTGAACCAGCTAATCAAGCTCTTACTAGGCATAGAAACTTCTAGTCAGGTGTGTTGAGGCAAGTTGGAGCTAAACTCTGCAGGACACCGGCCCTCCAGGACCGAGTTTGGACAGCCCTGCTCTAATGCTTTCATGCTGGTTTTGATGTCTTGCTTTGTGCCATTAAACTGGGTGTTAGAGCCATAAAGAACATTAAGAAATTAGTAATATTTTTCTATTATTATTATATTCTTTATATTAAGAGTGATTGTTATTTGATATACAGTTTGCATATTTTGTGATCTTTATATTGCATACATGACTTTTCATAGGTCAATTTCGATTTTATAAGTAATATGCATGTGAATGTTGATATTTTGAACCGTAAGAAGGAAGGGGCTTGGTGTTAGTCTTTTGACCGTTCTTTGAAACCATATTTAATTTGAAGCTTGAAGAAGTGTAAATAGTTCTTAAGTTCGATTTTTGTTATATCCTGACAAATGAAAAGTAAACTGTAAACTGAAAGTTTATGGTTTTACTCGTCAAAACCTTTGTGCTGGTTCCCTATGGAGATGATGGAGAACGGAAAGGAAAGTAGATCGCCATTACACTAGGGTTAACTTGTATTTGTATTTTTTCCCTTTAGAGCTGAAGACACTGAAAGAGGAGAGTCGAGAACTGAATGAAATGGAAGAGAAAAATCTGTACATGAAACATGATTTCATTATTGGAGAAAAATCTACACAGACAGAAAAGACTTCATCACAAAAAAGAGCTCTGAATACAGAATCTAACAAATGTTTTACCTGCCGTCAGTGTGGAAAGACTTTCACTCAAAAACCAAACCTCAATGTCCACATGAGAACTCACACTGGAGAGAAACCTTTCACCTGCCAACAATGTGGGAAAAGTTTCACTCAAAAAGGAAACCTTAAAGTCCACATGAATATTCACACCGGAGAGAATTCTTTCACCTGCCAACAATGTGGGAAAAGTTTCACTCAAAACGGAGCCCTTAAAAGGCACATGAGAGTTCACACCGGAGAGAAGCCTTACACCTGTCAACAGTGTGGAAAGAGCTTCACAACTGAACTAAACCTTAGGTATCACATGAACATACACACTGGAGAGAAGCCATTCTCGTGTGATCAGTGTGGAAAGAAATTCAAACGTAAAGTAACCCTTACTTGCCATATGGGAATTCACTCAAAAGAGGACAGTTTTAAATGTCATGACTGTGGAAAGAGTTTCAGTCATAAAGTAAACCTCAAGAATCACATGAGACTTCACGCTGGAGAGAAGCCTTACATGTGTGTTCAGTGCGGAATGAAGTTCACATATAAAGCAGCCCTTAATGCCCACTTGACAACTCACACTGGAGAGAGTCCTTATACCTGCAAACTGTGTGGGAAGAGCTTCACACGAGAACTAAACCTCAAGTATCACATGAATATTCACACTGGAGAGAAGCCATTCACATGTGATCAGTGTGGAAAGAGTTTCAGACGTAAAGTAACTCTTAGTCAGCACATGAGGATTCACTCAAGAGAGAACTGTTTCATATGTGATCAGTGTGGAAAAAGTTACACAAGCATGAAACGCCTAAACAGGCATGTAGTAAGTCACTCTGCAGAGAAAGTTTTCAAATGCCAACAGTGTGGAAAAAGTTTCAGTCATAAAATAAGCCTTAAGGCTCACATGAGACTTCACACTGGAGAGAAACCTTACACGTGCCCTCAGTGTGGAAAGCGTTTCACTTATAAACCATCCCTTGATTACCACATGAGAGATCACACTGGTGAAAGGCCTTATATATGCAAACAGTGTGGAAAGAGCTTCTCACAAAAAGGAAATCTGAAGACTCACATGATAATTCACACTGGAGAGAAGCCTTTTAAATGCCAGGACTGTGGAAGGTGTTTTAATCGTAAAGTAAGCCTTAAGACTCACATGAGAATTCACACTGGAGAGAAGCCTTACAGATGCCTCCAATGTAAAAAGTGTTTCACATATCAAGGAGCCCTGAAACGTCACTTGCGAGCGCATTCTGGAAAGAAACCGCAGTGTTCAGAGTGTGACAAAAGTTTTACGAAAAGTAGCAATTTCAAAAATCACCAGGGCATTCACTTTGGAGGAAGGCGATTTAATTGTGATCATTGTAATAAAAAACGTCTTTTGCCATCACACTTACAGATACACCTGAAAAGTCACACAGATGTGAGACGCTATTTGTGTTCCTTGTGTGGTAAGAGGTTTAAATGGCTCAGCAGTTTCAAATGGCACCAGAAAATACGGACCTGCGTGAAATTAAGGCTCCGTTCACACCGCAGCTGAATGTGGGCCAAATCTGATGACCATTTCCATTCTTTTCCTCTTTGTACTTTCTATTTAGACCTTATTTTCTTTTGTCATGTACACATGAACTCCTCTGATGAGCTCTACATGATCATCTCAATTTGTAATATTGAGCAGTTGCCATAGATGCCCTCTAATTTCGCTTGTATGGAGGTGTCGTTCCATTTCATGTATTGATACCTTGGGATCAAAATATTAGTAATATTAAACTTCTGTCTTGCTGTGAAATGTGTTACGGAAAGATTGTAAAAAAAAAAAAAAAAGGGACAATCTGAATGAAATAAACATCAAACTGCATTATTTGATTGATCTTTAGTAAGAAAATGCACAGTCTGGACTTTAAAGGGGATATTGGATGCCCATTTTCCACAAGTTGGTATGATTCTTTAGGATCTTCATGAAATGTCTGTAACACACTTTGGTTGAAATTCCTCAATGGTCGTGTAAAACAACACCTTTTTTACCTTGTCAAAAACAGCAACCTGTTTAAGTCTCTTTAAAGGGTCATGAAACAGCGTAAGGGGAGACAGACAACACAGACAGTTTCATTTTGCTCCCATCGAGTTAAAACACAAATAAATGCACAGCCATTTGCAGTCTGCATCGAAAACATATATATGAACGTGCTGTTGCACCTCTGAGAACTTTTAAGGCTTATTCTGTGGCGTTTATATAAGCCTTTTGACGGGTTGTGTCACAGTAAAAACGGTTATGCTCACCAAGTGAATGAATCGCGTTTGTGCCGAACTCTTATTACAAAGCAAAAACAAACAGTCTTCTTCAATCCATGAACATTTCTCTCAGTTAATGTATGCAGTCTCACAGTCTGAAGTGTCTGTCATAGCAAATCAACACATGCTGTTGTGAATAATTAATCGAAGCGTCTTCTCATAGGATAAGAACACGCTGTCTCATGAATAATTTAATAGACACCAACGTGTCATCGATGTACTAAAATGCTGCGTTCAAGTCCTCCTGGGACGTTCGTACTTATGAGTTGACAAGTCGTAATAACGACGTCAGGTGCGTTCAAGTCACTTTGGTCGGAACAATATGGCGATTGAATTTCTTTTCCATAAAATCCAACGGTGATGTAAACTGAATCATTATATGTTCTTTGGTAATTATACAATAATATAATATTTTGTATATGTAACAGTTTTATTTTACATTACAAAAAATGTATCATTTTATTAATTTCAACAAATTTACCATCAATACAGATGATGCTAGTCTTTGGATCTGCATTCCATCCGACACGTTTTCTTACTGACGCCCCCAACTCGGAAACTCGGGGCTTAAAGAAAATTTCGAGTTTCCCACTCGTAATAACGACTTTGTGGTGGCGTTCATGTGCGTTCAACTCGTAAATACGATCTATCCGACATGACTTGAACGCACCATTAGTCCATTGCCACGTCACAAATTGTGACGTCAACACAATGTAGATTTTAAACCCGGAAGATGAAAATGACGCAAAAAAGCTTAAAATTAACCTGTTTTCTCCAACAGTTAAAATTATCGGATGCTAACATTGTCTTCTATGATGTGCAACACAAACACCTCTGCTAAAATCTAAGAAAAAGTAGTCTGGGGTTTCATGACCCTTTAAATTATAATGTGCTACTGTTCACCAAGGTGGCTTGATTTGTGAAGCACTTTGGGCCTGCCGGAGATCCTGGATATCTTGTTCAGATAGATGGCATAATGGATTCTATAAAATACCAATGGATAAAAAATGTAAAACTGACTGTCAATGCTAGAAATCTTATAATGGGCCATGGTTGGATCTTCCAACAGGACAATGATCCACAAACAAACATCAAAATAAAAAAAAATAAATAAATAAATGGGTCACTGAGAACAAAACCAAGCTTCTGCCCTGGCCAACCCAGTTCCCTGAGCTGAACCCTATAGAAAATGAGTGCAGTGAATGGAAGAGGAGAAGCATCAACATGCAGCTGGAAATCTGAAGGGTCTGGAGAGATTCTGGATGAAGGAATGGACCGAACTGAAGCCGACCAAGCGCATGTCTGTGCGACAGACTAAAGCAAGTGTGAGTACGGATTAATTAGGCCCTGTCCCAAATGGGTAGACTTCATGTGCACTTGCTTTCTTGTGGACCTACAATGGCCGTCTGTGCATATCCATTAAGTCCACGAGACCGTACGGTGCCCCATTCGTTATTTTAGCTTTCAGAAGGGTGCTCGCGAGTAATTAAATTACTAAGAATAAAATGGGTAAAGATATCCACTTAAGTCAAGTCAAGTCAAGTCAAGTCAAGTCTGCTTTATTGTCAATCTTTGGGACTGGAATGATGGTGGTGGCTTTGAAGCATGTGGGGACAACAGCCTGGCTTAGCGAGATGTTGAAAATGGCTGTGAAGACATCAGTGAGTTCCACTGCACAGTCTCTCAGTACACGCCCAGGAATGTTGACTTTATATTTGAAATGCATTTCAACATTGAATATGCCTTAATTGCAACTTACTAGGTTGTATTTTTGTTTACATGTGGTTAAAATGTTTACTGTTGTGGGAAATTTACAAATACTATAGTCGAACTACGGTCACTTTAGTAAAACCACCATGGTTCATTTTCATAAGGGACTGCCAGTGACAGGGTGTTGCACGCATAAAATGCAAACTTTTTATTCTGACAGCTATGATTTATATTAACATTACTGGTTAGGGGTAAGGGTAGGGGTAGGGTTAGGTTAGGGTTAGGTCAAATAATGTCATATTTGCATTAAAAATGACAACTGAGCGAATGACACTTAATGACAGTTGTCATAAACATGCATAAAACCTCCTTCATATTCATGACATGTGTCATGTCATGATTATGAAGGTGCCATGTCAGTCTTATGCACACCCCTTCAAGTAAAGTGTTACCATATGAACTTTTAACATTCAATTTAAATAAATGTAATTGCACAAACTATGTAGGCTATAATTTCAATTTGTTTATTGTGAAATAACTCAAACATAAATGTTTTTTTCTGTCCTCTGATAAGCATTGTTCTGCCGTTCCCAAAAACATCAGTGATTTCTTATGATACTTTTGGGAAACAGCCCTGTTTGAATGCACTGTCAGCAGTGAGTGAACACTATCTGTGATTGATTAGTTCTGTCCTGCAGCACTTTTGGTGTTCATATCATGTGTTCAGTTGAGCAGGAAAATTGTTCTATCCTACACAATTATTCGCTAACATAGGTTATTCGTCCAATTCAATACATATTGTACACATAAATTTTTTTGTTAAATAAAATCACTGGTAAAAAAAAAAACCACACCTTAGTATCGATATTTTTTATTTGAGTATCGATACTTTCGATACTCGCATCAGTATCGATATATCGATACATCAGGATCGATATGCCCATCCCTAACTTCTACCCAACAGTCAAAGCAGCATTACGTCACGAAATTGTGGACTTTCAGTGAGTGAAAAGTCCTTAAAAGTCTTAAATGGTACAAGAAAGTCTTAATAATGGCTTTTAGGAAGTCTTAAATTTGACGACGAGAATTGTGATACAGCTTAATATGAGGATTAAACTTCAAAAGGCTATGATATCATTGAATATGTGTGCTGCATGTTTCAAAGTCAGCTGCTGCGCTGCTTTGTGTACTGTGGTTACCGGGGAAACTGCTACATTTCTGAACGTCAGCTGATGCTGGCTGTAGTCTGCCTGAACTACGCTTGAGCTCCATTCGTCACTCAAACTACATTAACAGTATATAAACGTTTTTATGTGTTATATGACGTTTACTTGATATTCACCTGTTACTTTAAATTTTATGTCTTAAACCTTTAAAGACAAAATTACAACATGAAAGATAAATTAAGCAATTGGTTGATGCATACAAACGCTTTATTATGCAGTAGTCGTTTTACTGCATACAGCTCTAAGTTTATAGAAAACATAACAAAGGAAGATGAGGAACATATATCCAGTGACCCAGTATAGCCAGAGCAATATAAAAAGTCTTGCAACTTTACTCATTAAGAATTAATTGAAGGTTAAAAGAAAATCAAGAAAAATTATGGGTGTGCCTCACACGTCCTGAAAAGTGAAGCTCTTTGATCGCCCCGATGGCTGGCTGCAGTACAGGTCATAAACCCCGCCCTCTCCATGTAAACGAATGGGACTTGAGTCAAAATAAAAAAATATATTACACTTCCAATACAATTTTCCGAAAGATGGTTTTGGTCATTTAAGGTAGTTGTTATCATGCTGATATATGTTCAATTGTTCGTTTTTGTGATAAGGTTGATTTTAGCTAGTAATTTAATGCTATAAAAATGGGGCATGTCGTTATGGTTGGTTGAGTCTGCGGGAGTATGGGCAGGAGTTTGATACCGCGGCTCCACCTCACGACACTACTGCGCAGACTCGGGCTCCAAACGAATCTCTACTGCGCAGACTCTGACTCCAAATGACGTCATTTACTCAAGATGGCAGCGGCTATACTGAGATGCTTTGGCTTTACTTTTCTATAGTGGTAGGAGGTGGAGAAGCGTCGTCCTTTTTTTTTTACAGTCTATTATACAGTACCAGCAGTTGTACAAGAAATGTGTTATTGAAGATCTCAGAACAGTATGATACATTCATCACACATTACAAAGAAGCTAGCAGTTTTTATCTTACAAATAAGCAGATAGACAATGAAGATGACCATGAGCTCCAAGCTTTGCTGGATAATGGCTTGTTTTTTTGAGTACTGCATTAGGAGCAATACTTTGTTTAGGATCTGGATATGATACAGCCCATTGATATGTTCATTGTACTGTTGTATTGTTAATTTACACTGAAAATACATTTACGTGTATTATGTTTACTTATTTCTTTAATGAATGTCATCAATGCAATAAGACACACATACATTGTTTCTAATAATTTCTCTTTATTTTTCCTTCTGTAGGCCACACATCACAGATGTATATCAAAACTGTTCAGCAAATGCTTCAGTATCAAGAATCTCCACTCTGATTTATTGACTGGAATTTGGCCCATATTTGTCTGCCTCAACCAGTTAAATTCTCAGTTGTAGTGGGATTTCACTACAGCATTTGATACTATTTAAACACTATTAATATTATGTTTATTTTTATAATGATTCAAAATAAATGATCCACTTGTACCTGATGCCGGGATCCTGCTGAAGGCTGAGAGACACAAACATGCTGTTCAACCCAGACGTGTCAAAGCGAACATTCCTTTACAACTTCATTGGTCATATTGTGGACTATATTCAGCAAT